ATTGGCCAACCCAACCAAATACAGAAAGTAAAGGTTTTCAGCAGATTTATTGTTTTGTGGATTAAGTCAAATGTTATGAGGGCCAAATCAATCATTAGGTAAAATCTTGGTTACTTTTTCTTATACCTTCACCTGACTGGTGTTATGTATATTTTTTTATGTGATATATATTCCATGTGATGTCCTAAATGTGTTATGATTGCTTATGAGAGCTTTTTTTTTTTTTTTTGCCAGTCATGGTGCCTGAACTCTGGGACTGGGCACTGTCCCTCAGCTCTTCAGCTCACTTCCAGCTTTTTCTGCTTATGTGGTGCTGAGGAGTCGAACCCAGGGCCTCATGCATGCAAGGCGAGCACTCTACCAATGAGCCACCTTCCCAGCCCCTATGAGAGCATTTTTAAATAAGATCTAAATATGCTTTTCATTGAGGCAGAATATGAACATGCAGAAATAATTATTTACTTCATTGTTACCCTGATATTTAGTGAATTTTATCAAAATAAGCTAAACACACTCTTTGAGACACCTACTTAGATTAAATGTTGTCATGCCAGAGTATTAGCTCCTTAGAATTGTCATCTTGTCTCTATTGCTAGCACCAGAAATGTGTTCTGATGAATTAGGGAAACTTCGTATTTATAATTACCTAATTAATATAGAGGCAAACATTTCTACTTTGATTTTCCTTCTCTCATGGTATAGATAATACCTCAAGTCCCAAATACTTTATTTAAGACAAAAGTATACATGTAGAAGAATTAAATTCCAGACTTGATGTTCTCATGAGTCAGGGCTTGTACTTCAATTGTGTCATTACAGAAACTGGTGTCATTTGATGATGTGGCTGTGGACTTCAGCTGGGAGGAGTGGCAGGACTTGGATTTTTCTCAGAGGACCCTGTACAGAGATGTAATGCTGGAGACCTACAGCAACCTGGTGTCTTTGTGTGAGCAAAAGTCACATTCATTTTCTAGGTCAAGTGATTTGTTTTTAGTAGATATTTGAATATTTATCAGATTTTCAATGCTATTTGGATGGTAGATTCTAGTCCATGGGAAGTGTCATTTTTTTCTAAGGAAAACTTCAACTTCATTATGTAACTCCTGAGGCATTTTTGTTTGTTTGGATTTTTTGGGGGGGGTCCAGTCATGGGGCCTGAATTCTGGGCCTGGGCGCTGTCCCTCAGCTCTTCAGCTCAAGGCTAGCGCTCTACCACTTGAGCCACAGCGCCACTTCTGGCTTTTTCTTTTTGCTTATGTGGTGCTGAGGAATCGAACCCAGGGCCTTTGGCATGCAAGGCAAGCGCTCTACCACTGAGCCACCTTCCCAGCCCCCCTGAGGCATTTTTATTCTCATTTTTCAAGCTGCCAATTCAGCAGTTTGACAAAAGTTCTAAACTATGTTCCAGTAACAGGAGACATTCTTCCCCAAACTTGAGGCAATTATTGTAGGGTGACATACAATGTAGAGTAGAATGCATATGACTATTGGAAATATGATCTGGAAAATCATAGTTGAAAGTGGGTATTTATCATTCAAATATGGCACTGGGTGCAGTGGTTCATGCCTATAATCCTAGCTAATCGGGTGGCTGAAATCTCAGGATTTCAGTTTGAAGCCAGAAATTGCACCAAAGTCCCCACAAGACTCTTATCTCCAGTTAACCACTCAAAAACTGGAAGTGGAGCTGGGACTCAAACTGGTACTAGCCTTGAGCAAAAGAACTGAGTTCAAGCCACACTACTGGCAAAATAAATCCAAATGGGGGGAAAGTCAACTATGGAGCCAGTGAGAAATGAGAAACAAGATTTAGTAGCAACCTTGTGAATGGGATGTCTGAGATTTTTTTTTTTTTGGTCGGTCGTGGGGCTTGAACTCTGGGCCTGGGCGCTGTCCATCAGCTCTTCAGCTCAAGGTGAGCACTCTACTGCTTGAGTCACAGCACCACTTCTGGTTTTCTAGTACTTTATTGGAGATAAGAGTCCCATGGGCTTTCCTGCCCGTGCTGGCTTTGAACCATGATCCTCAAATTTCCAGTGTCTTGAGATTTTACAGCAATGATGACCCAGCATGAGCAACAGTTCACTGGTTCTTATTAGCAGGGCCCTGTGTTCCTAAACCTAACTTGATTGTCAAGCTGGAAGAAGGTGCAGAACCATGGATAGGAGAAGCCTCAGACAAGAATTTCACAAGTGAGTTAATGCACCTTGCATGGTGATGTTGGATTGACAGCTTGGTTGGTGAGTTCATCTTGCACTATACTGAGTAATAATGTTCCGACTTCCCCTGAGTCCTGAGTGTGGCAGAGAACTAGGTGATCTTTTGTCTCAAAGACTTGTGAATCCAGAATTCATATGGAGACATACTGAACTCTGTGTGGCAGCAGAGTTAAAGTTAGCAATTCTCTTTTTGCAAAAATCGTTCCAAAACAAAAAATTAAAATGAGAAATTTAGAATATGAGAATTCATTTTCTTTAAAACCAGGATTGTGCTGCTATGAAAAATAAGTAGTATGCCAGGGTTGCTATCCTTTAATAAGGAAAATAGCTTATCAGTGGTGGGCAAATATTGGGATTCAGAAGCAAAGCATTTAGTCTAAAATGGATGATTAATTAGGTGGTAAGCCGGAGTATCTTTGGTCCGCCAAGGATCTAAGGTAGGAGTGTCAGCAAAGGAACTTTTTTGAGCAGTGGGTTTGAACTCTGGACCTGGGTGCTGTCCCTCAGCTCTTCAGCTCAAGGCAAGCACTCTACCACTTGAGCCACAGTGCCTCTTCTGGTTTTCTAGTGGTTTATTGGAGATAAGAGTCTTAGGGACTTTCCTGCCCAAGCTGGCTTTTTTTTTTTTAATTGTGAAAATACCATACAGAGGGGTTACAATTATAAGGGCAAGATTATGAGTACATTTCTTCTTTTTTTTTTTTTTGGCGGTTGTGGGGCTTGAACTCTGGGCCTGGGCGCTTGTCCCTCAGCTCTTCAGCTCAAGGCGAGCGCTCTACCACTTGAACTACAGTACCACTTCCGGTTTTCTAGTGGTTTATTGGAGATAGGAGTCTCAGGTCTCTCCTGCCCGGGCTGGCTGGCTTTGAACCGCGATCCTCAGATCCTCAGATCTCAGCCGCCTGAGTAGCTAGGATTACAGGCGTGAGCCACCAGCGCCCCGCTAAAAAAGGAATTTTGATGAGACTTTGTCTAAGCTGAAAAGAAATGAATTTTAAAACTCCCACAGATAAAACTAGTAATTCTTACTGAGAAATTAAAACAAAAGAGATTTAGGTAGAAATACTTTCAAGAACCATTCCTGCTTAGGTGAAAGGCAAGGGTATGTATAAAATACTCTTTATGGCCTCTAAATCTAGTAACTATTCCTGTTTCTCATCTAATAGTTGAAAAACAAAGTAGCAAAATGCATTTTTCAAGAAAATAAAAGGAAACAAAGTAGATATTCCCCTATGATCAAACAAAACAATATTTGAAAAACACAACCACGAGAATACTAAAGAAAAAAGGTCAGTACTCAGCTTAAATCTCTAGCCATACAAAGTTGAATTGCGTAAATATTTTTCCTGATGTAAAAAGAAGAAAAAACTGAAACACAGAAAAAAGTAGTTTCCATTGTAAAATACCAGTTTACTTTCTTAATTAATATACTAGGTAAAAGACTATATATTTTTTCATAAATCTATTCCTACTTTGATACATAGTTTTTTGTCAGTCCTAAGGCTTGAACTTAGGGCCTGCGCACTGTCCCTGAGCTTCTTTTGTACAATACTAGCACTCTACTACTTGAGTCACAGTGCCACTTCTGGCCTTTTCGGTTTATGTGGTACTGAGGAATCAAACACAGGGCTTCATGAATGCTTGGCAAGCACTCTAACACTAAAACATATTCCTAGCCCCATACTTTGGTATTTTAAGTCTATCAGGATGGGAGAAAATGTCTTTTTTTTTTTTTTGTGAAGATGCTGTACAGAGGGGTTACAATTACATGGGCAAGATAATGCGTACATTTCTTACCAAGCATTGCAGCCTCCTCCTTTTGTTTACCCTTCACATCCCTTCCCAGCCTCCCCCCTCACCCCCAATCCCAATCTTTCTCCTTTCCCCCCTTCCCCCCCCTGCACCAACGTTGTAAAGCTCGTTTTGGACATCTCAACTTGTACTTCTCATTGTTGCAACAGGTCCACCTGTATCTTTAAACAACTGGTTTTTCCCCATCTCCTCCTCAAGTTATACTGACATCAAATATAGTGAAAGCAGGGGTTATACTGTGGGGGAGGGACATACCAAGCGAGAAAATGTCTTTACCTTTACATAAAGGGATTTTTTGTTCTTATTTATGTTTTTTTTTCTATGACTCATTTTAGATGTTCAAGAAATGGAAGATATGATTAAGACCTTCCAGGAAAGTCCAAATGAGTATCTTTGTAAAGTATCTGTCACAAATAATAACTCAATAGAAGAAAGTATGAGAACTTTCAATTTGAGTTTAAAACATAAGCCAGAGCTGATTAGTAGTAGTAGTAATGGGAACTCCTTAGGGATGAGGACTGAAGAGATCATTGAGTGTCAGAACATGCTTCTCTGTAGTGAATCTGATGAGATGCAGGCTACATATAGGCCTGGTCTGTTTCCTGTAGTTGAAAAATCCCTGAGATATTTGGAGTATTCTAGTCAAACTGATGAGCAGCAATGTTTTGAATATGGTGGAGAAAGAAAGGTATTTAAATCAGAGACCATATTTTTTAGACATAATTGTATTTATATGGGACAGCTTTCCTGTAACCATAATGAATATAGAGAAGACTATGATAAGTCTATTCTCTTTGCCCAAGAAATACTTCATGGACAGAGAAAAACACCTGAATGCAATGGATGTGGAAAAAGTTTCGATTTAAGTAGTATAGTCACTACACATCAGAAAATGTATACAGGAGAATATCCTTATACATGTAATGAATGTGAAAAACCTTTTAGTAAGGAAATTCACCTTACAAAACCCCAGAGCAAATATTCAGAGAAGTCCAATGAGTATATCCAATCTGAAAAATCTATCTGTCAGAAGTCAAACCTGACTTTCTCACCTCAAACACCCACAGAAAAGAAACCTTATCAATATGAGGGATATAGGTCAATTTACACCCAGAAGTCAGCTCTCAACCAGTATCGGAGAAGTCATACAGAAGAGAGAACTTACGAATGTGACAAATGTGGAATGTCTTTCAGACTGAAGTCATACCTCACTTTACATGAGAGAATACACACAGCAGAGAAACCTTATGAATGTATCGAGCGTGGAAAGTCTTATACCCAGAAGTCGCAACTTACTGTCCATCAGAGATTACACACAGGAGAGAAACCTTATGAATGTAATGTATGTAAAAAGTCTTTCACCCAGAAGATACACCTTACTAATCATCAGCGAAGACACACAGGAGAGAAACCTTATGAATGTAATGTATGTAAAAAGTCTTTCATCCAGAAGATAAACCTTACTAATCATCAGCGAAGACACACAGGAGAGAAACCTTATGAATGTAATGTGTGTGGAAAGTCTTTCACCCAGAAGATACACCTTACTAATCATCAGCGAAGACACACAGGAGAGAAACCTTATGAATGTAATGTATGTAAAAAGTCTTTCATCCAGAAGATAACCCTTACTAATCATCAGCGAAGACACACAGGAGAGAAACCTTATGAATGTAATGTGTGTGGAAAGTCTTTCACCCAGAAGATACACCTTACTAATCATCAGCGAAGACACACAGGAGAAAAACCTTATGAATGTAATGTGTGTGGAAAGTCTTTCCCCCAGAAGATACGCCTTACTGAACATCAGCGAAGACACACAGGAGAAAAACCTTATGAATGTAATGTGTGTGGAAAGTCTTTCCCCCAGAAGATACGCCTTACTGAACATCAGCGAAGACACACAGGAGAAAAACCTTATGAATGTAATGTGTGTGGAAGGTCTTTCCCCCAGAAGATACGCCTTACTGAACATCAGCGAAGACACACAGGAGAGAACCTTTATGAATGTATTGAGTGTAGAAAGTCTTTCATCAGGAAGTCATACTTTAACATCCATCAGAGAATACACACAGGAGAGAAACCTTATGAATGTAATGTGTGTGGAAAGTCTTATACCCAGAAGTCGCAACTTACTGTCCATCAGAGATTACACACAGGAGAGAAACCTTATGAATGTAATGTGTGTGGAAAGTCTTTCACCCAGAAGATACACCTTACTAATCATCAGCGAAGACACACAGGAGAAAAACCTTATGAATGTAATGTGTGTGGAAAGTCGTTCACCCAGAAGATACGCCTTACTGAACATCAGCGAAGACACACAGGAGAGAAAACTTATGAATGTAATGTATGTAAAAAGTCTTTCACTAGGAAGGAAAACCTTAATGTCCATCAGAGAGTACACACAGGAGAGAAACTTTATGAATGCATTGAGTGTAGAAAGTCTTTCATCAGGAAGTCAGACCTTAACATCCATCAGAGAATACACACAGGAGAGAGGCCTTATGAATGTAACAGGTGCAGAAAGTCCTTTACCAAGAATTCACACCTCATCAAGCATAAGAGAATTCACACTGATGAGAAATCGGGAATGTAAGAAATGTGGTGAGTCTTTGACCTGGAAGACAATTAAGTTTACATCAGAGAACTCACACAGAAGAGAAGCTTTATGCATGTAGCAAACTTGCAGCCTTTTACCCAGAAGTCACAGCTCTGATTTCTTCATTGGACACCCACATTAAAGAAATTTTATGAAGAAACAAATGTGGAAAGTTTTTGAAGAAGTCATACCTCAGTTTGCATCAGAAAACACACACAGGAGAAAAACATAATGACCATCCTCTCTCAGCATCTTATCACTGTCAAAAGCCTCAAGGGAGCCTTCATGATCCATAGGTGACCCACCTGTGACCAGTGTACTATTTGGCTCCCAAGATGGCTCAGCACACAGAACATCCTGAGCCAATTGCCACTTGATATCTGTGCCAAGAATTAACTTTTCTTCAACTGATGAACCCTGATGAGCAGTTAAACTAAATTATGGATGCCTTGTGTCCTACTGAACTGTTGCTTGGAGGATGGTGACACGTTTCTGTGAATTGCTGATTTGCACCAGAGTTAGCAAGGGGACAAGGTCAGCTGAGAATAGGTACTCTCCTGGTCAGGTCCTCCTCACCAAACAAGGGCTCAGTCTTACCCTGACTAGTGCTTCTGGACTAGAGAGCAGAAGCTGATCTCCTTTGTAGATAACCCATCATCTTCATAGCCCAACCACTCACTGATAACAACCAAAGGTGTTTTCACTCTATTACGCAGTGTCCATTGCACTGTCAGAATGACACTACTGCTTGTGATCACATACCCTGTAGCTCTCTAATAACAGTTACTAAGTTATTTCCCTCTCTAACACTGTATTTCAACATGTACATGAAGAAGAAGGCAATGGTGTATAATTTCTTTTTCATGGAATTCTATTACTATACTTTTGCTTTTGTTTGTGTTTGTAGTTAGCCTTGAACTCATGTCACTTTAGTCTCCTTTTGCTTTATGTTCAAGCATGGCACTCTATTTCTTGTGCCACATCTCCAATTCTGACATTGTTCTATTTAGCATCATTGGTCCCCTCATGTAATGAAGGCACTGCTGGTCTTTGAGCTAGGAGTCCACCATGCAGTCACCAGCCTTTCAATAAAGACTCCAACATTCGACCATTCAACATGTAGCTTGTCTGTTTTTTCACCTTAAAACATAATAACCTCTAATAGCATTTATATTTTTTCCTTTGAGGAAAGAATAATATCTGTGTATACTATGCTGAACTTATTTTTACATGTGAACCTCCTTTTTTTTTTTGGGTCCGGTCATGGGGCCTGAACTCTGGGGCTTGGGCGCTGTTCCTCAGCTCTTCAGCTCAAGGCTAGCGCTCTACCACTTGAGCCACAGTGTCACTTCCCGGCTTTTTTGTTTTTGCTTATGTGGTGCTGAGGAATCGAACCCAGGGCCTCATGCATGCAAGGCAAGTGCTCTACCACTGAGCCACCTTCCCAGCCCCAGGTGAACCTCCTTTTTAAAAGATCACTAAAGAGGGCTGGGAAGTTGGCTCAGCAGTAGAGTGCCCAGGGTTTGATTCCTCAGATAGACATAAGCAGAAAAAAGCCAGAAGTGGCTCTGTGGCTCAAGTGGTAGGATGCTAGCCTTAAGCTGAAGAGCTGACGGACAGCACCCAGGCCCAGAGTTCAGCTCCCACGACTGACCCCTCCCCCCCCAAAATCACTAAGGAATATCAAAGAGGTTCTATTAGTATTTATTTCTAACTCAGTTTCCAAAAATAATGAAGGTAAGAAAGAACATTTCTTTTGGATCCAGGGGTAGGATAAAGCTTCATGTCTGACATCTAAGCACACACTTGTCAATGGAGTTGTATTCTAGATACAGAAGACCTTCATGGGAAGATCTGGGATCTACAGGACTCAAGCACTATCAGTAATGTTAGGTAGGAATCAGCTGTCATTGATAAAACCAATTATTCTGAATGTTGATAACATCAAGAAATGAACTGAAAACTTGCTCTGAAACCTGGTTCAAACACTAATAAGAAATGGTGAAAATTTCTGGGAGTGAAATGAAGACTGATTTACTAGAAAACAAAGTCAAATAATTCAGAAAGGAAATGTCTTATAGATAAAATATCTAAAGTTTCAGAAAGTTTTTGAAGATCAGTACAATTTTAGGGGAAAGATGACAGGCCTAGATAATGTGATAGCAATTATTTCCTTGTAAGACATGCCTCACACAATGGAGCAACAACAGGAACAGGGGATTAGAGTCAAATCTTATGGTAAGGAATGGGGGAAGAGTAAAACTCAAGGCAGCTTTCTGAGAATTTTATAGACACATCAGAAAGAAGCTGTGTTGTGTTGGAAAACTGTTGATGAATGTTGCACTCATAAAAAGTCCAGTGAACAAAAGTGAGCTACAGAAGAGTATTGCCTATTCAATACAAAACAGGTTTTTTTGTTTGTTTTTTATTTTCTTTCCTTGTCTTTTTTTTTTCCTTGTGGGGTTTCAAATCACAGATAGCCTGCACACACTCAAGACTAGCACTGTAACACTTTGAGCCACTGCACCACTTCCAGTTTTCTGGTTATTGGCAATTCATCTCACTGACTTTCCTGCCTAGACTGGCTTCAAACCAAAATCCTCACATCTTGGCCTTCTGAGCAACTAGGAATACGGGTGTGAACCACTGGCATCTGGCTCAAAATCAGTTTTGTATGTGATCTCTACTAAACCATTTTTAGTAAAGCAACATCATCCACATATCAAAATGCATCTATGAAAATATCAAGTTCATATTGTTAAGGATGTATCACTATTATGTTTACACATTCATAAAGCTAGTAAGAGTTGAACTCAGCCTCACACAGGTGGAGCACATGCTTTACCCCTGAATGACCACACCCATTTCTCTAATAGTAGACAGGTAATTTTGTAATATGACTAAACAATGCTTTTGTGTGTGTGTGGCCTACAGCTTGAATTCAGGGATTGAAGGTCGCTGTCCCTGAGCTTTTTTAGTGAAGGCTAGTGCTCTAATTCTTCAGTCACAACTCAACTTCCTACTTTTTGGGGTTTTTCCCCTTTGGTGATGAATTGTGCATGTGAGTCTCATACACTTTCCTTACTGGGTGGACTTGGAACTGTGATCCTCAGATCTCAGCCTCATGAGCCACCAGCACCTGGCTTGTTTTATAGTCTACAATTTTTGACTATGTTATTTTCCCTTATACATAGTTAACATGTATTAGCTGAACAAAGCAGGATTGTGATATTTTTATATATGCATGAGTTCATCCTCTTCTATTCCTCATCCCCTTTCTTAAAACAATCAGCTGAACTAGGAATTTGGTTTAGTGGTAGAGTGCTTGCCTAGGATGCATGAAGCTCTAGGTTCAATTCCTCAGTATCACATAAACAGAAAAAAAGTTGGAAGTGGCACTAGGGCTCAAGCATTAGGTGTTGCGCCTGGTTTTTTTTTACTTTTTTTTTTTCTGGGTCGGTCGTGGGACCTGAACTCGGCCTGGGCACTGTCCCTCAGCTCTTCAGCTCAAGGCTAGTGCTCTACCACTTGAGCCACAGTGCCACTTGTGGCTTTTTTCTTTTTTCTTATGTGGTGTTGAAGAATCGAACCCAGGGCCTCTTGCATGCAAGGCAAGTGCTCTACCACTGAGCCACTTTCCCCGCCCCCTAGGTGTTACTCTTGAGTACAAAGTTCAGGGACAGTGCCCACACCTGTGTTCCAGGACTGGCAAAAAGCCATCAAAGAAACAATGTCAGCAAATCCCATTGTGCTCTGTGTGTGCGTGTGTATGTGTGTAGTATATGTAGAGCGAGATGGATATATATGTATATATACCCATGTATAAGCGTGTAAAACTATTACATTTATACATTCATATATGTATCCATAGATATGGAGAGTTTTTTGAGCATATTCACTTTACCCTATCTGATTTCTATCTCATATTCAATTGCTACCTACATTCTCAATAGAACCTATTTTAGGTTCAAGGGATCACAGATTTATAAGTCAAGCATTGAGTTCATGTCTTTGAACTGTACTGTTATTTGTTTTTATTCATATTAGTTGTGCAAATTGGTTTCACTTTGGTGTTTCATAATGCATATACTTTCATCAGATGAGCCAATTGCTCTCTTGGCTTGTCTATACCCTCCCCACTTCTATTACTCAACAGCTTTTAGTGAGTTTCTATGTGCAGTCTTCATACATACATGCCATGTATATCAGTGTTATTTAGTGTGTCATTCTCATTCACTTTACTGCCTCATCTTGGCATCTTCAAATAGACCCACTATTACAATTTTGGTTTGAGGATATAATTATACATATATACACACATAGATATACATACATATATCTTTTGAAACTCAATTACATATATAAGAGGAAACATAACTTTTGCCCATATGAATCTAATTTAGTTTGTTTGACAAGTTGATATCTAGTTCTTTTTGACAATGAATGATGGGACTTTGTTGTTTATAACTGAATAAGGGTACAATATGTATGTATACCACATTTTATTTTCTTCTTTTATTTAAATAGTTGTACAAATAATTGCTATTTAACAAATCAGGAGTACAATATATCTTGATCCATATCACATATTAAATTATTCTCACACATGTCTCCCTCATTTTCTAACATGTACATTGGATTCCTTCACTACATTCTCTCTCTCTTCTCTTCATTTGTCTACTACTTTCTACCTGACACTACTTCATGCCTTTCAACTTCCTGCTTCCTGATGCTTTGCCAATCTAAATTTTCAACCCCTGTAAAGGCACTCTGCTTATTTTTTCATTTCAAGATGAGAAGTACCATCACCCCCTAATACCAAAATGGAAGTTGAGTTGTGATTCTTTGCATCAAAGTGACTGGCACAAGCAGTGATAGCCTAATCACTAAATGTGCAACTCCTCAAATTATGTGAGAAGTCAGGACTCCAGAATGTATTCCTGATTTTCAGTATCTATTCATTCACCAATGCAACAAACATATACTAATTGCT